AAAATATAATAAAAATAATAATAACAAAAAACAAAAATAAAGATTTTGTAAAGTGAATTTTTGCTCTGGACTCTTAAAAGCTTCGGTTGCCTAGTAATAATATCTAAAAAGATTCAATAAAAAATTTAACAAATAACAGTAAAAAAAATAAAATTCAACAAAATGTAACGAGTAAAAAAAAATGTATAAATGTATTGTTTTTTTCCTCTCATACTGATCTTGTTCAGGCGCTACAAGCTATACAAGTTATCCTACTTGGTTTTTTGTTGATTGTTTTGATCTAATCTTATATAATGCAGCAAGACAGACGGAATTCTCATGTGACAGTGCAATTTTTTACTCTAATTCTTAAAAGTATATTGTCTTACACTTCACTTCGGACAATAAAAATAAACATTATTATTATTAGATTTTATTTAATTAAATTAAGTAAAATAAAATAATACATTAAATAAAATATATATGAAATAATAAAACATATTTTATATTAAATTAAATTAAAAATGTCAATATGGGAGGTTTGCTATTAAAATCAAGTTACGAATATAGTAAATCATATGATCCGTAATGTGATTTTAATAGCTTACCTTCCATATATTAAAGTATATCACGTTAAATTATAATATACTATGTTAAATATATTCATGTTAAATTAAAATATAATGTGTTAAATTAAAATGTATCACATTAAATTAAAATATATTATATTAAATTAAAATATATCACGTTAATTTAAAATATACCACATTAAATTAAAATATATTATATTAATTTAAAAAATATCATTACATTAATAATAATAAAATATTAAATTACCTCATTATTAATAACATAAGAACTTTCTTGAATTTTTTGTAATCGTTCAGTTTGTTTAGGTGTTATAAAAAAGTTTATTAATCGTTTAGCTCTTGCAATTAGAACTTCAGCTGGTAGTAATCCTTTTCCTATTATTAATTGTAAGGTATATGCAGTGCAGGGGAGTCGTATAAGTTCATTCATTAATCTTCCAGCTTGAACCATATTTGATCCATTGTCTGTGGTTATTGTAAAAACCTTACTAGATAAACCTCAATTAGAGTAATTTCACGTAAAACCTTACAAATATTATCTTTAGTATAAGGATAAGGTACATATTGAACTGCTAATACTGCCTCACATAAATTGAAATCATTATTGATAAATGAACACGTAACACTAATGTATCTACTTCTACTTTTAGCTGTTCATAAATCTGCTATTATAGAATACGAAATAATATTTACACTAAATTTTTTTGTTAATACATCTTTAATTTGATTATATAATTCAGCTAATAGTTGTTGTATAGTTTTATCACTTGAAAATTGATAATTTGGATCTAATTCATGCACAAATTCAATAAATCCTTCATCATTACCTAAATTAATTGGTTGATTATCTTTAATTAAAATTCTAACAAACTTTTGATCTCGACAATTCTTAATATCTAGATTGTTTCATATCATTTCATCTATATGAAGTTGTGATAACTGACTCTTGTTTTGAATTTCATTTATTTTTCTATTATAACTTTCTTCAGTAATTTGATGTGTAGCAAGATGAACAATAAAATTACCAGTAGAACTATCAGATCTCATAAAGTGTCTACATGATTCTACACCATTTTTCCGTTGAACTTGAACTAAACATCTTACAATTCTTTTATATTTTTCAGTTGGTTCATATTGATCAAAGTATTCCCATATCCAATTTTGTCCTGGTGGCTTGGCATTTGAAATTAAAACTAATTGATCAGCTATTTTATTTAAATCAAGTTTTTTGGAATTTTTGCTACATTTTTTGTTATTTCCACCAGTTTTTTGCTGATTATTTGTTTCCATATCTGAATCCAATTCAATTATAGATACACGTCATCATTTTAATGGTTCATGAATATTTTGTCTTAATTTTTTTGATCAACTTTCAGATTCACATTCATTTTCAGAATCCAAGGGTTCTTCAAAATTTTTTGACTGAGACATTTTTGTTATTAGAAAGTAAAACATGAAAATAAAAAACACAAGTAATCAATAATTACACGTGTTAATTTAAATGATCTACAAAAGGTGTGGCTTGAAAAATATATTGAAAGTAAATTATCAACTTGATTTAAGAATTCGAGCATACAAAAAATATTTAAATGTTAGTTAAATAAAGCTTTAACTAACAATAGAAAGGAAAAGTTTCAAAGAAACTTTGGAATATTATTTTAATTTAGGAAATTTAGCACAAAAGGTAATATTTAACATTAAATAAAACTTTCAATCAAAAATGATAACTAAAAGAAAAGGTTTAAGAAACCTAGGTAAAAATAAAATCTTGTGTTTATAAATGCTAAAACATTGATAAAAAAAACATAAAATTATTCATTTGTATTAATTGTTGAGCAAATGTTGCAAAAGCAACGAAGCTTTAACAGAAAAGCCAATCATAAAAAATTAAAATTTCCTCCATGTTATAATAATAATAAGAGGAAGCGGGAAGTTTCTTTTTTTTCACAATTTATACATTATACGATTGTTTTATTACATTTTATTTTTATATTGTTATAAAAAATATCTGTGGATATCTGCAGATATCTGCATATCCGCAGTTTATATCCATCATTTAAATTACTTATCCGGATATCTATATATCCGTACGGATATTCGAATAATGTATTCACGGATCAGATCACTACAGAGCACGCGTGAACGAGAAAGGATTTGGTGTAACCAATAACCAATTTCGGATTCGGCTTTCTATTTCCGACCATTTTACTACTATCATAACTCGCGCAAACTTGTTTATTGCATATTTTTTTTTGTAGACAAATAAATAATAGGTTCCTAAATTTTTTTCTCATCATTAAGACGTTAATAGTAATATGACTGAAGGATATGGTAAGATTAAATTAAAAATTATACTCTTCGGCACGTTTGATTTTCCGTCCGTGATTAGAAATTGATACTTTGATTATTAATTGCTTGCTTAGAAATCGTTTGTCAAATTTGTTATAAATACGAGCCCAAAATACGTTCACTCTTTTTTTTTTTTTTTTAGACATACATACTTTCAATTAAAAAAAATAATAAATAAAGATGGCTATCAAGGTAATCGGGTTCGCTGCATCTACTTGTGCTCAGGTTGTGCTCATGACTCTTAATGAGTTAGGTGTACTTTATGAGTTCGAAGAGATTGCATATGAAGATATCAAGAAACCGGAATACTTGGCCAAACATCCATTGTAAGTTTGAACATATATATATATCTGTGCCACGAAATCATTCCTTTTTTTATTGAACGAAATTTTTTTTTTTACCTTCTTTTTACAGCGGACAAGTCCCGGTTCTCATTGACGACGATTTCCAACTTTTCGAATCTCGTCCAATGTCTATTTATTTGGCAAAAAAATATCAAGGAACTAAAACTTCCACTATACTTTACCCTACTGATGATCTACGAAAAGCCGCATTGGTGGATCAATTCATCTCGATAGAATACTCGAATTATGATGTAGCTATCAAAAAAATAGCCGTGGAGGAAATATACACAAAATTTAATGGTAAAACTCCTGTTCAAGAAAATATTATAGCAGGTCGTGAAGCACTTTCTAAAGTGTTGGATGTTTATGAAAAACTCTTGGAGGGCAAAGATTATTTGGCTGGTGATTTCTCCTTGGCTGACATTTTTCATATACCTTACACTTATATCTTTTATCAACGAAATCATCGTGATTTGTGGGATGATCCTAAACGTCCCAACGTTGCTAGATGGTGGAAAAACCTTAGCGGTCGTGAAAGCTGGAAAAAAATTCTCCATAAATATGAAGGAAAATTCCTTTAAAAGTAAAATTTTTTACTCTATCATGTAATTTTTCACTTTTTATCAAATTTTTAAATAAATAAATTTATATAAATATATGAGATACAAAAAAAAAAAAAAGAAAAAAAAAAAAAGTGGAGCGTAAAGTTGAATGAATTATAATGGAAGTTTTATGTTTGGCACATTTCTCTTTAAATGAATTTCATATCCTCGAGACGTAGGCTTAATCGAAAATTCCAACGTGGGTTTACTTTCATCATCAGACGATGTAATTGAAGAAATAATAGCCCATGTTACGGAATCTAATCTACCGACATGAGAACGATTCTTATCTAAATGAATAATAATAACTTCTAAATTAGGGCAAGAATTAACAATTGTTTGAATGAACCTTTTTAGGTGATCCAAAGTATAAACTTTTGTCTCGACTTTAATAATTTTAAGCGAATTTCGTGAGTGAATTATAAATCTATCATAAACATTACTTATGGAGTAAAGATACGTTATGGGTGAAATTTCCAAGGAATACGAAGGAATGAAGTCAAACTTGTTATTACCATCATCGTCAATTATTTGTAATTCTTGTAAATTGCTTTGAGACCTAATCAAATCTTCCAATTCATCATTATAATAAGAATTATACGTGAGAATCTTAAGTTTTTGTAATGAAAGACCATATCCCTTGATTTCTTGATACATGTTCTTGGAATGTTTTGTGCTGCAAACCAACGTATCAATACTTTTAAAAAATTCCTTCATATCATCATTATATTTCAAAAATGATATGTCATTCGGTATCATCAACGTCTTAACACGTTTACATTCTTGTAACATGTATTTCCATAATTCCTTGGTAACGACTCTCTTACATTCAATTAATGAATCAAACCCATCAAAGATATTATCTACCAAGAGGTTAATGTAAATATGCGAGATTTTTTGTAAATATATTATGTAGTTAAATTTTGGTTGTGAAAGGAGGGAAGGGTTTAATGGTATCCCTTGGTGAATAAATAGTTGTTTCGTTTCATATGGTAAACATTTTAATATCGTTTTACCAATGACTTTCCAAAATATTTTGTAATCATGATGATTTTTAAACGTTAGATGGTTGACTTTTCCCTTTAAAGTTAAAGAACAATTGGTGATGTTGACATGTAAATATTTATTATGTTTCCATGGGTTTTTCCATAGAATTGATATGGCACAAATGAACCATGTCTTATTTACCAATAAGCATGAGAACAAATCAAAAGGACTATCCGACAAATATTGAACAATTTCTCGAATACAATCCTCTGGAAGTTGTGGTATCATCTTTTTTTTTAAAAAAAAAAAAAAAAAAGAGGGGGAAGGGGAGAGAGAAAAATGAGATTTTTTAAATCGTAAATGTCATTTAAATAATTTCTAAAAATGGGTTCTTTTTTTTTAGGTGGCGCAATAAAAACCGGAAACCTATGAGATGAGTTCTTTTTTTCAAGGATAATCACGTGCTGATTATAATCGATTATTTGTAATCGATATTTAATGAATGAAGAATCTTTTTAAAAGTAATGATTAAATTAACCAAATCGGTAAATTTGAACACTTTGTTGTAAATGGTAAAGTGTTTTTTTTTAAATAAAGCATTTCAAGTTTTAGATCGTCCTATAGTTTTCCCAAATTTTCGTTCATATCAACATATTTGATAAAGAAAATTCCTTCTAATAAAAAAAAAATATCAGAAAAATCAATTGAAGGAAGAAAAAAACGAACAATTTTCTGACAAATTTATCACATGATTATAAAATATAGTGTATAAATTATTCTATTTTAACTTGTTATGATTTAATTGGTCTATGACGATTTGTTAATCAATTTTATTACTAAAAGAAATTATGATTATCGCTTAATAAAAAAGTGAAATTGATTGGAAGTTAGAATTAAACCAAAACATATACAATTAATAGCAATATACGGATCTCTTCAAATGCATCATCTAATCAGATACCGTATTAATAATATTTACATGGTTTGGTGTAATTGATAGTACCGCTATCGACGACACCCAGTCGATGATAAAATTCACATACTTTAATGATATAATGAGAATAAATATTGTTATGGAAATTAAATTTTAAAGGTTTCCTTTTCATTTCCTTCCATAATTCAAAAAAGTCTTGAAGATCCAAATTAGAAAAGCTCCATCTTCCGATTAAATGAATAACATTTAAAAACGTGGATGATTTTAAGGCCAATAAATAAAAAATTGGCTTAGCTAATACCGTATCCGAATTTGAAACCGTATTCAAGATGTGAATGATGATTTTTTTAACCCTTGAACAAGTTGTTAATAAATCTTCAAAATCTTTTAAGGAAATGTTTGAAATCAACCAAATCGGTAAGATTTCAACCTTTGAACATTTCGTCTTGATTACATGTAGATAATATTTAATTGATTCTAATGGTGGTGGTATCGATGTACTAATATCCGTACATCGAATGTCAATAACTTTAAGTGAATTTCTCGTATTATCAATTAATTTAGCGTAAATATCTAAATACTCCCCTCTAACATTTTTTAACGAAAGAATTTCTAGATGTGGCAAAGAAACTTGTTCCAAGATTTGAACATTTTCCTCACCAAATGATGATTTATAATTGATTTCCAATTCGGTTAAATTGACAAAAGATGAAATGATTGGTGAGGACAAACAAATGCCACGATCAAATCTAAGAATTTTTAAAGATTGAGAAAGATGTTTAATAGTTTTTCGATTTTTAAAAGGAAATTGAGCTACATTTGAATCATAGTAAAATGATATTTCCTTTAAATTTTTTTGTGATAGGATGAGAGGTTCGATATCATTAGTTTGACCCACAAAGATTAAAAGATGTTTCAACGTATGAACATTTTTTAATAATTCGAGAATTTCTTTTGAGCAATGCCAACATTCTAGAGTGGAAAGTGATGATAAAGAATTTTTTGATCTAGGATGTTTAAAAAATAGTTCAATGTTTGATGATCGAATGGATTTAATCTTGAAACACTGATTCATGAATAATGACCAACATTCATTGAATAACAGTCGTTTGATCGTTTCATATTGTGTCACCATCCTAATATTAACATCTTTCAATATGTCTATAATTAAGATTTTAGTTTTAAATTCGGAAATGAATTGAATATATGAAACGTAATTGAATAAAGATGGTTGTAATAATGAAGGGTTTAGAAAAAATTGTTGTTGTTTTAAAAGAGATTGTTTGGTTTCTCGTGAGAAACATTTGATGATTGTTTTCCCAAGGATCTTCCAATAATTAGTTCTTGACATACATTCCAACCATGGGTCCTTCCTTACGGAACATGGATCTCTCCATAATATTGGCACGACACATTTACAAAATAATCTGTTTGTTAACAAGCATGTGTATAATGATTTTTTATCATCCGAAAGATATTCTAATATTTCCCTAATACAATCTTCTGGAAGTAGCATTTTTTTTTTTTTTTTTTTTTTTTCGTCAGAGTGAGTTGAGAGAGGAATTTGACATTTGTGATTTAAATGCAAGCAGTCATGTGATCATGTGACCACAAATTCTCTAAACCTCCTTTGTTTAATTATATTACTGTTTATTGGAGATTTTTATTTATACTATTATTTAACGATAATAATTACAAATGGGAAAAAAGAAAATTTTGTTAAGCTCAACATGGAAATGGTGGCAACACGAAATTTCAAAGCCACGATATTTCTATGGTTCACCTTCTTCATTAGCTTTTTTTTCTTTGGTCTCAGAGAAAGTAAATTAGTCAAGGCTTAAGTTGAGGCTCGGCTTTAATGTTAATATTGAGAATGAGAATTTTATCATCTAGATTAAATTTGCCTCCTCCCGAATTTGATTTTGGCTCGTTCGTCTTGATTTATTGTAGATCGATCACGAGGCACATCTTTAAAGGTGGATTATCTACAGCAAAAATTCGTCCAAAGTTGCGAAATACCGAAATCCCCCTAATCGTGGCTTACGTTTATTGAAGTAGATCAAACAAAGATTATCGCGGATTTCGTCTAAACCGTAAAGGATAATCTTCTAAGGGGTCAAGATTATATAAATCAATCAATTGACCAAATTTAAGCCTGATTTCCAAAGCCTCCCTACAAACTCATTAGGCATATGATCAAAAATGAATACCTGACGCGCAAAAAAGCAAAATTGTTGGTAAATCTGTTTCTTGATCCTTCATTTATTATTATTATTATTATTATTTTCTATTTACATTAGGGGGAGGGAGACTAACACAACACGATATACTAATAATATTTAAATGGTGTAGTGTAGTTGATAATACCACTATTAATGATACCTTGTTGATGATAAAATTCACATATTTTAATAATATAATTAGAATAAATATTATTATCAAAATTAAATTTCAAAGGAGTTCTTTTAATGCCTTTCCATGATTCAAAAAATTCTTGGATATCTACATTAGAAAAGCTCCACCTTCCGATCAAACGAATCTCATTTAACATCATTGATGACTTTAAAGCCAATAAATATAAAATTGGTTTCGCCAATACTGTATCTAAACGTGAGTTCGAGTTTAGGATGTAAATAATAATCTTTTTAACCTTTGAACATGATTCTAATAAACACTCGAAATCTCTTAAAGGAATCTCCGGAGTTAACCATATCGGTAAGATCTCAATGTTTGGACATTTCGTCTTGATTACATTTAAATAATATTCAATTGACTCTAATGGTAATAACATTGGATTATCCGCGTGAAAATAAATATCAATGACCTTGAGAGAATTTCTCGTATTATCCATTAATTTGGCGTAAATATCTAAATTGTTCCCTCTAACATTCTTCAAAGTAAGAATTTCAAGTTTTGGCAAAGAAACTTGTTCTAATATTTTATCATTTTCCTCACTGTAAGATGATTTGTAATTAATTGACAATTCTGTTAAATTGATAAAAGAAGAAATGTTTTGCGGTGATAAACAAATTCTACTATAAAATTCAAGTACTCTTAAGGATTGAGAAAGTCGAGTAATAGTATTTTGATTTTTAAAAGGGAATGGACATTTATTCTTCGAATGAAGGCCAAATGATATTTCTCTTAAATTATTTTGTGATAGTATGAGGGTTTCAATATCATGATATGAAACTTCATTAATTGAGATTACGAGTCGTTTCAATGTGTGAACATTTTTTGATAATTCAATAAAAATTTCTTTTGTTTCATTAGAGGAATTTGGATAACATTCTAAGGTGGAAAGGGATGATAAGGATTTTTTTGATCCGGGATATTTGAAAAGGTTCACGGTTGGTAAACGTAGAAACTTGATCTTAAAACATTGTTTCATGAATAATGACCAAAATCCATTGATTAACAATTCTTCAACCCTAATGTCATAAAAATCTTCGAATACATTTTCCATTAATGTATCGATCGCACTTTCAGAGATGAATTGAATATATGAAACGTAGTTGAATAAAGGTTTTTGCAATAATGAAGGGTTAAAAAAAATTTGTTGCTCCTTTGAAAGGGATCGTTTAATTTCTCTTGGAAAGCATTTGATTATCGTTTTCCCAAGAATTTTCCAATAGTTTGTTCTAGAATAGTATATTGACCACGGTTCTCTCCATAATATTGGTACGACACAATTACAAAATAATCTGTTCGCGAACAGACATGTATATAATGATTTTTTATCTTCCGCAAGGTGTTCCAAGATTTCTCTAACGCAATCTTCTGGAAGTATCATATTTTTTTTTTTTTTTTTTTTTATGAAGGGCAAATTTTGAAACTGAAGAAAGGGCGAAAAAAACAACTTGGATTTATACCAAATTTGACAATTGATGACCACCTGATACCTAAACTTTGATGCAGCCTACGATGTAAATCATACCTCCTCCGCAGTATATTATGGTTTATCACTTTATCAATGCATTGTATGGATTTACAGAATTACCAACCATTTTTCAAAAAAATTAGAACCAATAAGAATTTCTCCGATTAAAATCGATTTAATACATCCCTAGAATTAATTTTATTCTTTTTTTTTTTTTTTTTTTTTTTTGTTTAGTTTCTTTCCTTCTTTTTTTTTTTTAAAAAAAAAAAAAAAGAAATGAATATAATAAAAAAAAATTATATATAATTTTATTGTAGTTAAATTTTAAATTGACTATATTACAAAATCCGGATATTCACACCCTTTCATTTTTCCAACTGCCTTGTAATATTTACCTAGAGGTTATCAAACCAAACTGATAAAAAAAAAAGACGAAAATGGCACAACATCTACTACCATCAGATTGTCTACGAGAGATATTTAAATTTATGCGAGAAATATCAGAAACAGCAGTTGAAGAAAGAAAGTTATTATTATCATGTTTATTAGTGAATAGGCTCTGGTGTGAGACGGCCTTAGAAATCTTATGGCGAGACCCTTGGAGATTCGGAAGATTTTCCAGAGATCAAATATATTGGAAACCATTATCAAGGACAATATTTTCATGTTTATCCAAAGAACAAAAAGAATTAATTAAAAGGAATAATATAAGTTTATCATTAACGGACAAACGACCGCTATTTGATTATATACCAAGTATACAATTTTTATCTAATGATCACATTAAGAAGGTCGTAGAGAACATACTGATGACAGGGGTTAAATGTTCGGACACGTTATTTCATTATAACGCAAATATTCTTGAAAATGAATTATGGAAATTATTCATGAAGAAATGTGTTACGGTGAGATATCTTCAGCTACCAAATACGCCTATTGTTCATTTCCCGGGAGCGAATCAATGTTTAGCTGCATTAAGCGAGTTTGAATGCTCGGCTTATGCGCCAATAAAGTTATTTTTAGATTTAGCACAAGTTTGTAGAAATATCAAATCAATGATTATTGATCCATGTGGAGATGATAATGATGGATTGGAAACATTAATTTGCCTACAAAATAATTTACAACACGTTAGATTGCATTCAATTGAGGATGATAAATGTCAAAGGATTGGTGAAGCGTTAAAAACTCAATCAAAAACCTTAACAAGTTTATACGAGTCTAGTATTTGCATACCTTCCAATATCATTGCTGAATTAAATAATTTAAAAAGCCTAAGTATTATGATTGATGAGTTGGACACAGACTTGGATCAGTTAGGTCTTATTGAATTACCGAATTTGGAGGCATTGGAAATCATGAGTTCAGCGTATCAACCTCTAGATCTTTATACTTCACTTATAAAAACCACTATCGGATCTTTGAGAAAGATTGTTTTTAAAACTTTTCCACCTCCTTCAGAAGTAGAAATACAACCGTATATTCAAACGATAATTAACCAGTGTCCGAATATTGAAGAAATTACACTTTGGTATATTGAAGAAATTTACCCTGATCTGGAACAATTATTATCATCATGTAAGAAATTAAAGTCGATCGATTTGGAAGCCCTATCAACCTTTTCTAACCTTATCCTTGATGAGGAGAATGATGATGATGATGATGAGGATTATGAGGAGGAGGAGGAGGATAACAATGATGATGATGATGACGATGATAATGATGACGATGATGATGTTTATGTTGATGAGGATCGATCAGGATTAGATCTAGATTATCAATTAGCTTGTGATGCCACATCTATTTTCGGATTACTTATTAAGAAATCTTCTCATAATTTGGCTCAATTGAATTTAAGTGGTAATTGGAGATTTACAGTTAATGATTTAGAAGGTTTCTTGAAAATGTGGAAAGGTAGAAAGCCTTTGTCCTTAAAATTGACTTGTGATGTCGTTATCACTTCAACTTATATGGAAGTCTTGGATTATTTTACATCCGTTGGTATTTTAAAAAGTTGGTCCCAGGGTTGGCCTGAATGTTGATTTTGGTAATTTATAATAAACCGATAGAAATAATTTGATGTCAAGACAATTGTACATATTATTTGAATTGAGAGAAAGTCTGTTGAAAGATCTAAAGTTTATAATTTAACATTCAATATTATTTGTTTAGGGAAATTTTATAATTTGAAACGTAAATTTGCTATAATGTAATTACAAACATCCATTTATTTTTTTTAAACAAATTTATTCATTTAAATTATTAATAATATCATTTATAATAATTAAATGTTATCCTTTAAACGATTTATGAGGCAAGCCTTATTGAAATCAAAAGTTTTTTTTTTATTTTTTATTTTTTGATTCGGTATTGATTTTTCAACTAAAAATAATTTTTAAACCGTTCTCAATTTTTCGAAGTGAGATCACGTGGAAGGTAGGTTTTAAAGATATGAATAAAATAATGAAATGAAGATTTTATTGGACTCATTTTTTTATTTCGAAATTTGACATTGGTACTCTCGTTCCAATTTCAAAGTTAGGATTATTTTCATCTCGATGAGAAACAAATTTTTTATGAAAATGACGTCAGTAACAAAAAAATCCAAATTACCTATACCGAAAACATAATTTACCTAAAAAAGCAAATATAATTTATGCTTTACCTAATATAAATTAAGTTGCTGCATAGATGGCTCGTTTACTTAACATTTAGATATTTAAGAATACAATCTCGTAATGATGAGGAATTCTAGAACTGGTTAATGAATTTTGATTAATGCACGCATAAAAATTCAAAGATTCTCTGGCGTTTCTTGTAATTCGGTTATCACATTAAAGAAATTTTAGCGCATGCAAAAATACGAAACTTGAACGCGCAAAGACGGGCATACCTCGCATGAAAAAATGCGAGTAAATGTAATGTGGGAGGATGTGGGTATGTCAATCTATTCAATAAATTTGAAATCTGTCTCGAACTGTCCCCACAATAGACAATAAATAATGCATTCAATACAATATCATTCTTATTTTGATTTATTGATTGTAAGTAAAACCATAAGCATCAGCATTTTCCTTTCATGCGACGCAGTAACTTCCACATTCAACAATGGAAACGTTATCGTTAAGATCTACAAATGTCAAAAGCAAATCCGGAGACGTGTATAATGTCACTACAACTCCTCCTCTTGTAATACAAAAACAGATTTTTTAATTTCAAATTTTCACGTTTTTTCAGTTAAGCATATGTTGAAACTTTTTCACATGACTCAAAAAAAATATCTACGTTTTATCACCAATTCAAACAATGTAAAACTTAATCATCATTATATAAAACAAAGGATTGAGGGGTAACGATTTGATTTACCGAATTCGTTAAAGATCATCTTGTTCAAAAAAAATGGCTCGTGAAAATTTTATATTGTGCACTCGCCGCAAAAAAAAGGTGTGGCGAGATGATGATGTTAAATTTAATCGTGACATGCAATTCCAATTCAATTCGATGTACATGACGACATAGCATCATTGAAACAGCTTCTCTGCATATCATGGAACATGTAGAAAGAAAGGAGCCACAGTTGGATTTACTAAATTTATCCGCATCATTTTTCTTTGTTTCAACAGGAAACTTCTAGGATCCATTGTCATTTTTTTTGTACACCCACCACTTTCTTCCCCGAATTGCTTATTGCAATTCATTTTTTTTTATGTTCAAAATTTTCCTTTTTTGATTAAACCATTTTGAGCCACATACAATATCAAAAATTTACCATTATATTTTTGCGGAGATTTTCCTTTTGTTAACAATTATCTTTTTACGTTCTGAACAACATTTTTTTTTTTCACACTTTTTTTTCAAAAGGAATGTTTAACAAAAAAATTTTATTTTTTTTATTTTTTTTGAAAATTATTAAATTAATTCGTTTTTATCTCGTCTTCGCGCGGCGTATAATTCATTGTGGCGCAGATTTATTTATTTGGGTTACTTTTTTTGAGAATTTTGGCGGGAAATCCAATAAACAAAAGCGAGACATAATGTCGCCATTCTTTTGGAGGGAGGGAACTTTGTTCATCCGCACGGACCATTTTTATTTATTTACTTATTTATTTATTTTCAAATTACCAAGAATTAAAAGAACGAGTTATAAGCTGTATGGTCAGCAAAGTAACTTTCGAAAAAGGTTTCACCCTTTTTACCCTTTTTATTTTGTATTTATTTGTAAATGAGAGATAAAGTTTGCAGACGAAATTGTTTATATAATTTTGAATTATGAATTTTTATTTTTACTTTGAATTATTTTTTTTTTTTTTTTTTTTCGTTATAAACACGTAACGAGTTGCAATAAAATAATAATTTGTAAATGAGATAAAGTTATATTAGAAAATTGGTTTACAAAATGTTGAAAATATTTAAAAATTGTTTTGATTATGAATTTTTATTTTTACTTGAATTATTTTTTTTTTTTTCAAAATAAACACGTAATAAAAACGATTTAAAACGTTAAAAATAAAAATTCTATTAATAATTATTTACAGATTCTTAATCAAAAGTGTTTTTAAAAAAATGCTAAAAAGAGAAAAAAATATATAAACTAATTTAAAATTGTTCATGAAAAATTTGAATGTATTATACACGAGGAAAGAAAAAAAAGATGTGATAATGCAAGAATTATGCTGATATGACATTGAAAGTGAATTATATTATGAAAAAGAGATAATTATTATTTTTTTTTTTTTATATAGTGTTTCTATGCTTTCTGATTTTCATCATAACTTTTAAAACCTTTCTTGCGTTTTGTAAAATCACAGCAGGAGATTTACTTAAATGAGCGGTACGAGGACGTTGAGAGAGTAAAGGTCGGTCATGAGATAAATTTAAATTTTTATCTTGTAATTCAGGTTTTGATTTTGGTTTTGGAGTTGATTTTTGATGATGTTTCATCTCAATATCATTCTGTTGTTTTTTAGCTTTAACACGTCGCATCATACGGTTTGCGGTTGTTGAATTTATCAATTTCATCGAGGTTGTTCTTTTCGCACTTTCAGTTGCAAGAGTTGAATAACGTTTGCTTGGACAGATATTCATGGATTTCCAATCTTTGGAACGGTTTTGACCAAGGGATGATGAAATTAATGGACGCGATTTCTGTTCCTTGGGTAACCTGCATTTTTCTATTGTGAAGGAAAAATCAAATTGATTAGTTAAAGGTAAAAAAAAAATACATAAGAAGAGAAAGGACAATTAAATTGAAGATGTAGCTTACCAGCTTTTCTTAAAGAGAGTTCGGCAAACATTGAAAGGGCGGCTTCATGTGTTTTGTTAATGGAAGATTTAGACTTGGGAAGGGCCTCGATTGGTTGGACGGCAACGGTTTTCTTTGTCGCATCGCTTCGGGCAACTGGCGCAGCAATGGCACCAGCGATTCCTTTCTTCGTTGGAAGGGATGCACTTCTTGATCTTGATTTTCTTTTAGAAGCGTTTGCCAAGATCTTTTTGATTGAGGTTGCTTCCGAAGAAACCTCTTGAACTTCCATGTTTTGCAATAATTCATCGATTAAAACTAAACACCACTTTGCGGTACTTGCACTACGTTCGCTCGCAATCATTATGAATTGTTTAGTGAATTTGGAAAGAGTGCTTCCTAAGACGTATAATAATAGATTTATGGCAAAAGTAGCTTTACATGCGACAGATAATGTGAAATTTGCGCACAACGATACGTGATTTACTACACTATCAAAGAGATTTAATTCTCCTTTTTGTTTTAATGTGAGAGACATTTTTTTTTTTTTTTTTTTTTAAAAAAAAGAAATAGTTTTTTGTTTTTGTTGAGAGTTTTCGGTCGTTTATATGTGTTTTTTTCTTTTTTTTTGAACGGGAAATACTAATTTTTTTTTTCTTTTTTTTTTGTGGGGTAAAAAAGATAATTTTTTTTTTTTGGAGGATGGATAATGGATTTGATTAGTATTTATCTATTATTTTTTCAATTATAATATATATATTTAATATATTTAATATATTCATTTATTTAACTTACAATATAATCTTATTGTTGAAAAGATGATTCTTTTATGTTTAATTCCAAAAAAGGAATGGTTTACAAGCCCTATACTATAATAAACTTTTTTTTATTTAGATAGAAGTCCGCTTTTAATTGTCAGGTATTAACGCATGTGATTTCTGCATGTACGCCATAACAAAAATTTTTTTTTTTTTTCAGCGGTTTTAAACATTTTTCTTGATGATGTTTCAATGAAACAATAGAATAAACGTGACTGAAAGATGATGATATCACTAAAATGCTTGGAAAAATGTTGGAAATCGACTAAATCGACTGCATTCTATGATTATCCATATTGTCCTATTTTCTGATGGTTATTAATAGTTATTAATAGCAACTCGCAGTTCATATGATTTTCATAAAAAAAAAATTCAGAGAAGAAAGAAAGAAAGAATGTCTTCGATGTGAAACTTTTGGAAGAAACACCAAATTATGAGTCAGCAATTGTAACAAAAATTATGCAAGGCAAAGGAAAGGTTCATTAGTAATAAGGCGGATATTCATCTAATTATTCATCAAAAAACTTTTTTTTTTTTTTTTTTTTTTTTTTTTTTTTTTTTTACGAAAAATTTTAGGATGCGTGAATGCATAATTTCGCTGAGAAATTCTAAAATTATATTTGATGCAGCTCGTTATGCTATATATGTTGTGTACTTTACTTGTTATAACCAATTTCTGGATAGAAAGTCGGATTGCGTATGCCATTTCTTTTTCTTTTTTTTCCTTTTTTTAATTTTTTTTTTTTTTTATTCTTTTTAATTTTTTTTTTTAAAATGTTAATTCGAAATGATAATTTTTCGGGAAAAAAAATGACGCATTCGTTTTTTACCCCCCTGAGTATGAGATCTTAAGCCTACTGCACACGATAAAAACGTAAATAAAAAAAAAAAAGATTTTTTTTGAACATTTGGCGTCCTTTGCATAATTTGCTAACAATTGATGTTAAAACAGATTTTTTAAAGGAAAGGGAAAACTGGATTAGGATGCATCATCTAGAAAAAAAAAGCATGAAATTTCAAAACTACATGAAAAAATAAATTTCATTATTATTATGAAATAATATCTCATTATTATTATTATTATTTTTTTCGCGAATGAAATCTGGCGCAGCAGATTTTAATTCATAATGTAATTTTCCGCCATTATCATTTCATGTACATTTTAGGAAACACCCAGAATGTTTGTGTATTTTTGTTTGTTTTATTGATAATAGGCTTTTTTCTGAATGGGAATCCAAGGTCGGGACATAGCTTAAATGTTTTCCGGGTAAAAGTGCAAAATCACCTCGGAGGAAATTCGGTCACATCTAAAGCCTTCGAACGCAATCGTAATACGATTTCACATGAAATTTTCAACGGTTTTTCCGGCCTATCCAAAATTTTTCCATTATATCAATAACTTAAATTTTTTCTTTTTTTTTTTAATTATTCTTATGTGTTCATTATATAATACTATGAACCCGTTCTAGATTTGATTTTGGTTTTCCCATGCTACCCTATAAAAATATTTCAATGCCGGTTTGTTTGGATTTTGGCGGGAAAAAAACAAAAACAATATTAAAAAAAAAAAACTTTAATACGTTATCACCATCTTAATATTAATTTAAAATGAGAGATTTTGGCGGGAAATAAATATCTCGTGGGATGATCATCAAATCAAAGAAGGTTCTTTTTCTCTTGTACAATCAAATCATCGAAACCATCCATACATCTCAATCAAACAATTCATATGTTTATTATTATTTAGACCCGGATCAATATAGTACCACGTACTCTAGCACAGATCAGTCTCTTTTAAGTAATTTATACTAACCTTCCTATTGCAGTTAAGATTAATAAGCTTTTTTTACTAGGTAATCATTTGAATGAATGCCACCAAATTGACATTGTTCTAATTTTGACATTTTTTTCCTTACGAAAATCGATGGCCTCTGCCACCTCGTAGCGTGTAATATATCCGCAGCAAAACCGCGCGGCATTAAGATCGAGGCATTTTGAATCGTATGAGTGATCTCGTCACATTTATATCACATTTAATTTTTTTTCTTGTATTACAAACAAGTAATTATATATAAACAAGAGATTTTTTTTTTTTTTTTCTTTCTAAAAGGTATTTTTAAGAAGATATTCTTTTTATGGAATTGGCATTGTTACAATCGCATTGTTGAAAAAAAAAACCCAAACAATTATGTTGTTTGTACAGGCAATATTTATTTATTTATTACGTTGGCCCTTGGCCTACGAGAGGGTACGCGGAACCGAGAAATGAGTATAATTATGGTCATTATTATACCTTAATGAGTTTTTGTTAATCTTAAAAAAGTCTTTATAAAGCTTATTATATGCTTATTGAACGGGCTTATGGTCATCATCAACCTTAAAAAGATTCCCTTTTGAAATAATTAAAATAAAAATTTCTTGGAGATCCCCATACTCGTAAAGATAATTTTTTTTTAAATTTAGTTCAATAGGTTTTTAATTTATGTATTGTGTATTGTAGAAAAAAAAAATTACGCGAAGTAACCTTGACTTTATTTGTGCGTTTGATTATGTACATTGAAAATCTTTACGAAACACGTTTTCAACCCGATTTTATTTGTTCGAATTTTTTTAAGTACAAAATTGAACCAAATCGAGCTAGTGATATTTTTTTTTTTCCTGTTCATTGCTTGTTTATTTCTCAAGAACCCTGCAAAATAAAAAAAAAATTTTTTTTTTTTTTTTCGTAAAAAATCAGGATTATTTTCTTGTTTATGAAACATAAAAATAAAAAAAAACCAATCGAGGTGAGAATTTTTTTTTTTTTTAATGAAGGCCTTTCAAGATTAATTAAAATAAACTCGTTTTTTTTTTTTT